ATGTCTTGCACTATGAGCACAATCTCTGCTGTTATCTGAGAAATTATTTCTGATTTCATTTTTTCCAGATCCTCTTTTGTTGCCAGTCCAGGCAGTCCAGATAGTTGGGTATCAGTGTTCCCTCTCATATCCCTTTGCTGTTGCTGTAGGTGATTTGGAATTCTGATTTTGAGACCTGTTTATGTGTCTTCTCATTTCGACAGGAGAGGGGATGGGGGCTTGTGCTGTTGGTGCCCGCGCGACTCACTTCCTTTGGCTGGGAGCAGTGGTACTGCAGCCCGGAATCCCCTTCCTCTGGGTTGGGAGTAGTGTTACAGTGGCCTGGAAGCCCATACCTATGTGCTGAGAGCAGTAGTATGGTGGCCCGAAAGCCCCTACCTCCGCGCTGGAAGTGGTGGTGCAGCGGCCCAGAAGCCCTTTCCTCTGCTCTGGGAGCTGTGGTATGGCAGCCCAGAATCCCCTTTCTCTGGGCTGGAAGTGGAGGTACAGTAGCCTGGAAGCCCCTTCCTCTGTGCTGGAAGCAGTGGTACGGCAGCCTGGAAGCCCCTTCCTCTGTCCTGAGTCTCTTATTTCAGTAGTAATATTATTATTTGTTTCCAAAGCAATCTTGAATTTTGAAATCTTACTACTAAACAGTACAGATTCTGGTTTTAGTTCAGTTTTTTTACATTTTTATCATTGCTAGTTTCTTTACTTTCCATGAGTATAGCAATGTGGGATGTCAGTTGTCTCTCATATCTTATTTTATCATATTTTAAAGCTAGATATCAATGTTTCAAAGTATCTTACCTACAACACTGGTAAAAATCAATTTAAGCCTAAAAAAATACTTTTGATGAAAAGAATAATTGCTGACATTCATTTTTCTAACAGTATCAATTTCTCCGTTAGGAACTGGTGTGCTTATGTACATACCAGGTTATCTCCCACTGTGGTGCTGGACAACCAGGTCTCCCATGTTCCAAGTGGGAGAGGACCCTGTGTCTGGATGGGTGGATCCTGTCCTCAGAGGTAAGTTATGTTTCTTGAAAAGAGCTACTGCCTGCTCCACAATCATTTGTGGCTGGGAATGTAAGTTAATCTTCTTAAGTACATACATATAGTAGGGTCAGGAGAGGGTCATCACATTAGATTAGATACATGACCCTCAGAAAATTAAAATCCAGATGTAAAACTTGTACCATAAGATTGGTTTTAGTATCACATGAGATAATGGTAGTAATACAGTATCCTTAACCTATTGTCCGGTTCATTGTGAATGTTCAATAACTGTTAACTCTCTTGCTTATTTCTGTATTTATAGCCATCATTACTTTTATGGCACCACCTTATCAACAAACTAATCTTTTAATTCCTTATAAAATATACACAAAATTTTGAAGACATTGGTAGCTTTCTTTTCATGCTAGGTCAGAGAGAAGTGCAAGCATAACTGGACTCATATTCTAACATATATAAAGCCATTAATTGCAATTATGCATACTAAAGTAGCTAAGTGGGAACTTTCTTCTTGCATCTGTTTTAATGACCTTTATTATTTGATGTTTTGTAAAATCTGAATCATTGTGCTGAAATGTAGGACCGGGCACTTGAAATTTTCTCTGAATTCATGTAGTCGCAGTAGCTCAGCTGGAGGTGTTCCTGAAGAGCCTGCAATACAAACTAGAATGGCTATTCAGGCCATGATGCCTAATGTTATGCAAATTGTCATACATATAACTCAGGAAATGAATCTGACATATCAGCAGTCTGGAACAATGCACAGTAAGGATACATAAAATCAAGGTGTTTCTTAGCCCCTTGAGGAACAGCCAAGGTTCATGGTCCAGAGAATTAAGCACATCTTAGGGATTTGGGAGAGTTGAGCTCCATTTCTGCTTTGCCCCTTTACTCCCTTAGTGGCAGTTTCCTTGTCAACATGAGACACAGAGAATGTATTGTTCCTTGTTCAATAATGAAAATATTACCTCAATAACTTCTATTTCTATTGCCCTGATGAATTCAAGGTGGGCTCATCTTTTTAAAAAAAAATAAAAAGTGTCTTTATGTATTATCTTTTTATAATTTGGAAGATGAAGTACAGATTGAAAATGACAGTGGTTATCTTAATTTTAGTTAGATCACTAATATCTCATTTGTTCCAAGTTGTGTGATGTGGAGAAAATGATCTTTTTAACAGTAATGATATAGGAAATAATAAGAATTGAAATAGCGTAAGTTATCCTTATAAATTCTTTCAAACTGGAATTGGAAATAAATTCAAACATAGGAAATATTATGAAGGGTAAAAGGTAGTATCTTTAGAAAATAATGACAAGTATCAACGTAAAATCACAATATACCCACTAATGTTTTTATAGTATATTCAAAGAAATCTAAGTTTGACAGTTTTGAATATAATATTGATGATAAAGATTATTATTATAACAGCTAACACTAAATTCTATTTTGGGCATTGTTCCAAATACTTTGTATTTATAATTCCAATTCCAGTTCTGATTAATAACTTAAATAATCTATTTCTCCCCAATTGCCCCTCTTTCTAGATCTCAGTGGATATCCAATCCTGTCTACAAGATGCAACATAAAATTGTTACCTCATTGGAATGGAAGTGCTGTCCTGGATACAGTGGACCACAATGCCAGCTAACAGGTATGCTCTGATATTAATTTCATAATAATAATTAGAAGTATTAAAAAATCTGAAGAATAAGCAGTTGATTCCCATAAAGAAAAGAGCTCCATTTTCCCATTGAACAAAGCTAAACTAACATGTAGTTACAGTATTAGAATTATATTTTTTAAATTTCCTAATTTGGTAGCTATTTCAGCACCCTAACACCTTATAAGCTATCTTATAACTTCTACCTTTCATCGTCAGCTCAGTTTTATATAATGAATGCAGAGTGCATGGATATCTGACTAAATATCTTACTTTTTCTTAACAAAGTGCTACAAAGATATGCCTTACTAAAATATCAGCTGTAAAATTTTATATTATTAAATAATTATTAGAAGTGACTATGTAAAAATAACTTCCCTCTAATTTTATTCTAATTTAATTATTTGAAGTAACATGTATATGAGTGAAATGACATGTTAAAGAATAAACCACGAATGCAATGAATATTTTTTTCATCCTAATGGAGCTAAGTTTTTCAACTGAAATTTTAACAATTTTCTGCTGGTAAAACTGATCAAACACATCGTAACCTGCACTGACCTAACATTCATGTGACTATTATTTTGCTTTGGGCTTTAAACGGGTTTCTTTTGAAAAATAAGATATGGCATCAGCATACATATTTTAAATGAATGAATATTACAAGAAAGGGCATTAGCAGGGGTGGGGAATTCAATCAACAGTGTAAGAGACTGTGATTAAAAATTAATATGTGTGGAGAAACCATTATGATTCACATTATGGAAAAGAAATCATAGTACAAGAGCTCTAGGAACCTTGCAGTTTAGTTAGGGTTATTATATATGGTTTTGCTAGCTCCTACAATGAGAATCTATAGGCAAATTTTTCTGTAATGCTATTTGCTCTGGATCTGGCTTCAATTTCAGACACGATATAAAATTCAATGCATTCATATGTACTGCATTATTAAACAGGTAAAATAAACTTCTAAAGAAAATATAATCCACACTTAAAATATTTGGAAATGAAGTAATACAGCATATTCTAAAAAGATCCAAGTGTAGCCCTGCTTTCAAAGGACTTCTAATTTCCATGAGTTGAGCAAATACATTCACAATGTTAAAACATGCTTATTTCTTATCGATATTTTTAACTAACAGTAAAAATTCTAGACAGTACTTAGAATTATATTTCTAAGGTTTCCATTTCTCTTCTTATATGAAGAATGATACCTTGGGAATGTTGATTCCATTATTATTTTTTGAAGTTTCAACTGTGTTCACGGAATACTCTCTAGACATGTAGCATACACTATTGCACATTAGAGGCTGAATATATGCGGCAGAGAGCAAGGTCTTTGGGTCAAATTTGGACTGTTACGATTTTCTGCTGATGAGGACTGCTATTTCTCCATGCTTTCTTATACTTGTTGATCAATTCTTAATCGCTGTGACAGACTGTATATGTGTGGGAGAAAAAAGAAATGTAGAATTTCATGACTGTAAATATGCACACAATAAACAGAGAATTTGACAACTTTGAATATCTATAACGTACTAAGTGCTACTTTTTAAGAGAATTATATCAAATATTTAAATCATAATCAGGTGATTCTAGCTTCAATTGTTCAATGACACCTTGTGTTCTAGTTGAAAGCATCCTGTGGATACCTTTAGTACCAGATTTATAAATTATTGTCTTAATTCAAACTGACAAAAATGTCCCACAACAAATCTGCTTATGACTTTACTGTCACAGTCACATAATTGGAACTACTCATAATTCAGACATCTGCTGATTAAGTAGCTGTGGAAAGATCTCTTGTCTTTGAAACATATGGTGAGAATAGTGCTGTAATGGCAGGTAGGCCCAGTTGTGTTGTGTTGTCATGCAATCAGTCCTAAGATACCTTTGATTCCAAAGAATATCCTGTGGCTCCCTACAACACTGACCATCCTTCTCTTCACTTTTATTGTGATCCATAAAAACTGCTGAATTTTTTATTAATGCAATTGATGCATTGGTAGAAACAAGAACTATTGTGTCCCTTTGTCACTGAGTCATTCTTCATTATCTCTATCCTGGGGGGTTTCTACACATTTTCCCTTCCGAAAGCTACCCAATTACATGCCAAGACTTCTCTACGCTTTCTATTACACTGTACAAATTTGCCACTAGTCTTTTGTTCTTCTACAGTAGAAGAAATGATCCCCTGTAAAAATAAACAGTGTTTGACAACACCACCCTTCCTGTCTCATATGACAGGCTGCCTCACATGTGGCAAGAATAATCACTTTGCCTCATCCATTCTTTAAACCTCTTCTGAACCCCCCAAGAATTCAGAATAACCTGGTTGCTACCCACATGACAGTTATTTCAGGGTGAGTCCCTTAAAGTGTCAGAAAATTATTTTATTCATAGAAAATTTGTAAAGTACTACATACCTTGCACAAAGCGAGGCCTCCCCAACATGCTTCCTCCCCACAAATAAAGTAAATTATGTAATAAGAAATAACAATTTCCTTTGATTTAGAATGTAGTTGGGAAAATTTTTTAAGAACACAAGAAACATAAAATGGAGCTGCTAGCTGCTGGACTCTCTTCTTTTTCTCCATTTTTCTGCCTCTTTCTTTTTCTGTAGATTCATCTTCAAACTCTTATGAAGAGATGTTTTTCTTCACAATCCAGGGGGCAATTTTTTCTATATCTTATTGCACCATATTCTGACCTGCCACATATGCCTTTTAGCTACAGCTCAGATTATCAAAATACTCTATAGTTTTAGATGACTTTATTAAACTATCAGTTCTACTATCAAAAGGAAATCAATTTTTTAAAAGTCTAAGTGAATACAATATTAATGAAGATAGTTTAACTAAATGCAATATCAAATTAATAGTTTAGGTATGTTTTATGTTTGTTATATCTTTGGGGAATCATGAAATTTTGGCTCCAGAAAAGAATCTAATTTTGTGAAATGGTATTCAAGACATTTTTTGAAATATCAGTAGTAACACACCACTCACACTTATTTTATAAAATTTGCAATTATGCATCTTTCCAGTAGATGTCTCTAAAATATTTTAAAATGAGACAAGGAAACCGTGGCTTGCTTTAAGGACACAAAGAAAAGAAATTTAAGTTCAAATAGTGTTACATTAGAAAAGATGATTAAGAAAAAAACTTTTTGCAAATCTTTTTTTATTAATGTATGTCAGCTAATACATTCATTTTGGAGAATTGGTACATATACATATATAAATTTATTTTTAAAAGTCTTTTTAACCCAGATTTTCTATACAAGAAAAAGGTAATTTATAAATTTATATTTTGTAAAATCTATCACAGATATTATACATGCTGAAAAGATGAGAATAGGTATGCATAGGTATTGAAATAAACTGATCCCTACTATATGTTATAAATCTGACAGATTTTTGTAAGTGCTATGAAACAACTCAAATTATGAAACAAGTACAGAAACATGCATTTTAAATATAAGGCTTCTTCAGTAAAATTATTTTGAAATGTATTTCAATAATATGAATGAAAATTCTAGTGTTAAAGAAAGGGAAAAAAATCTTCTTGTATCTTTACATATTTAGTTCTTTCCACAGGTGTTTATTGTGTCTTTTTTTAAAGAAAGAACATTACCTCTTGAAAGCATCTTACTAAATAACACTATGGTACATTTAGTTAAACACTATCCCTGAAGCTTTATTGCATCACGCTGCCTACTTCAACTTAACTGCCTACTTCAACTCATATGTGTACTGAGCATTTTTCCATGCAAATATCCACTTGCTATTGCAGAATCAGCTGAAAATCTGTCTTGTCAAGCCACACAGGGAGGCTTTCTGGCACTAAGCGGGAGAGAGCAAGCATGCTCATTACTGAGTTACCTTTAATGACTTCTTCCATATGGCTCAAAGGCCTGGAAGGAAAAAAAATCTGCAAATAAAACTTGTCTAATTAAAAAAAGTACCTAATAAGGAAGCTGCTGTTCTTGTTCTCCATACTTGCCAACCTTGCTTCTCTAAGTCCTTGATCCTTCAAGGTCAGAGTTTCCATTGCAGAGGAAAAGGAGAGTTCTCATGTTGTCAGATAAGACAAAAGAAGTTCACTTTTTTAAAAATAAACCTTATTTTATTCCATTCTCCCCTCCCCTTATATGAACTGTAAGTTCACTTTTAAAAGTATACTGCATTTTAAAATAAGTGAATTGTACAAAAACATTTAAATTTATTGATTTAAATAAATACTCTTCTGGCCATGCAGCTACCACTTAGAAAAGACTAAGAAAAAGAGACTTAGAAATCTGCACTCGATGGAACAATGCAAAGGTCTGTTCTTAGATGAAAAAGAAGATAGATTGCTTGGAAAACCTAGAATCTGTAGCAGTCCTTGTGGTGGAAAATGCACTTGGGAGACAGAAAGATTATAAATGAAAAAATAAAGAAGCATTGATCAACAAAGCTCTTTATCACAGGACAGTAACTGACCCCACTGTTAGAGATCCTATCACATCTTTGTGGGCACAAGTTAAATCCTGGGCAATAAATTGGGATGAATACAAGTATTGAACTCCAGTTGACAAACAGAGCTTGAAAAAGATAACATGAACTATTGAATTTGTAAAACAGGTATTTCCAGTTTTTAACTGCCTTGGCAGGGAACTCATCCAATGAATCGAGTAGGAAGGAGGTTCATATGACAACCAGATCCCAACGATTTTTCTGTAATGTTTCATAGGTATTTTTAATTTTTTTATTTAGGAGTAAATTTTCTCATCTAGTCTCTTTGTCTCTGTCTCTCTCTGTCTCTCTCTCCCTCTCTATCTGTATTCTCTCTTCTCTGTATTCTCTCCTCCACCTAGTGTTTTCTTCCCTCTTTCTCTCTCACTGTCTTTCACCTAGTGTTTTCTCTTTCTTGCATTTTCTTTCAAATCAGACTCTTCAAAATAGTATGAAAGAAGTTTAATTTTTCTAATTTTATATGTATATTTGCCC